TCTGTCTCAAAAATCAACATTAGAAAAAATTACAGTACGAAAAAAACTTTTTTTTAATATTTGAAAACTAAATAATTAAAAACGAATTACCCTCCTGCAATTTTAATGCGACACAAAATTTCACAGCCCGGTATCGTGCCCTTGGGTATTTTCTACATGATTTGTAATCGCTGCAAACAAGCACCCGTCATTTAGATGAACTATGACCAATTTATCCAAGCCCCTGTGTGAGGCATTTTTGTTGAACGGCCCCCAAAAGGGGATGATACAGACCCAGGCCACGCCCAGGAGAAGCTGGAGATTAAGACGACCTTCATGTTTCTGGCTAACAGGACAAGCGTCCTGTATAGACAAGTGTCTTAGGCCATCCAGCCGCATTCCAGAAAGCTGTAGCTTCGGGTCAGTTGGAGCCGTGCGGGTATTCTTAGACTAAGGATGAAGAAAATGAAGCGTTTGTGTCACACCCTGGCACCGGAAGGAGGCTCCCGAGAAAGTCTCAGAGGGGAAAGGCTCCGAAAACAGAGCAAGTGTCTGGGGGCAGTCGCATGAAAACTCCCCACCAGATACCCCCTTGAAAAAGTGTCTCCTCATGGGGTGCCTGCGGGGCTCAGTCGGTTAGGCATCTGACTCTTGGTTTGGGCTCAGGTCGTGACCTCATGGTTTGTGAAATCGAGCCCTGCATCGGGCTCTGTGCCGACAGCACGGAGCCTGCTTGGGATTCGCTGTCTCCCTCTCTCTTTGCCCCTCCCCTGCCCCTGTTCCCTCTCCCTCAACATAAATAAACATTTTTACATTTGTTTCTGTAGGGGCGCCTGGGTGGCTCAGTCAGTTAAGCACCTGACTTCTGGTTTCGGCTCATGTCATGACCTCACCGTTTGTGAGTTCGAGCCCCACATTGGGCTCTACACCACTGACAGTACAAAGCTCTCTCTCTGCCCCTTCCCTGCTCGTGCGTGTCCTCTCTCACTCTCTCTCAGTATAAATAAACTTAAAAATGTGTTTTTAATTTTTAAATCTCCTTTAAAAAACATTCTCTTTATTTTTGTCCTGTAAAAAAACAAAAAAAAACAAAAAACAAAACTGTGAATCCCCTAATATGAGTTCCTTTAATTGTTTAGTCTGTGGCATGATTGACACTGTCCTCACATGATCCAGAAATAGTGGCAGCAAGTCAGAGACAAAGATGCTTCAGCCACTGGAAGTACAGTCTTGGGAGCACTAGCCAACCCGGAATCTATCTCAAAGTTTTGCTTTTATCTCCCCACGTGAGCACTTCTATTCAAGACACTATAATTTTGTTTATAGCCATTCCTATGCCCAGATAATAGGAAGGATTTTCAACTTCTGCTGTAAGGTCATTTGGGGCCTCAGAGGGCAGGATTATACGTGCCTCCATAGGATTATAGCAAAATTACTACAATTTCTAGTTCCTCCCCTAATAATATATGTTGTTACCTACGTCTGGGAACTCTTTTGTTAAGTATTTGTGATTTTCTGGGCAGCCTGAGAGTGGGAGCATGGACCTGTGGGTCTCCAGCCCAGCTGGGAGCTGCCTTGAAGGAGCCCCACGTGGGGTGTCTGTCTGGCTAGGTCACTGGAGCACACAACTCTTGATCTCGAGGTTGTGGGTTCAAGCCCCACACTGGGTGTAGAGATGAGCCACACCTAGAGTGATGGCAGAGATTCTGGTGAAGAGCTGTGTTTGAAGCAGTAAGGAGGCTGAATGTTGTGTTTTCTAAATGCGATGCTCGGACCAGGAAAATTAAATGAGAACATATAGCTACTCCTTTAAAAAAAAATTTTTTTAAAGTTTCATTTGTTTAAGAAATCTCTACACCCAACGTGGGGCTCGAACTCATGACCCAGAGATCAAGAGTCACATACTCTCCTGACTGAGCCAGTCAAGCTCCCCCAGAATAGCTACTCCTGATAGGGCAGAGAGCAGTGAGTCACTAACGTTACTTGCTGATGCCCGGGAATCACAGCCATCATGATGGGAGTCACCACCAGCAAAAGCAAAGATAGAATTTCCTGGGGCGCCTGAGTGGCACAGTAGGTTAAGGGTCCAACTTTGGCTCAGGTCATGATCTCAAGGTTCATGAGTTCAAGTCCTGCACTGGGCTCTGTGCTGACAGCTCAGAGCCTGGAGCCTGCTTCAGATTCTGTGTCTCCCTCTCTCCTCTGACCCTGTTACCCTCTGTCTTACTCTCAAAAATAAACATTAAAAAAATAAATTGAAAAAAAGAATTTCCCTCTCTGAAGTCTTTCCATTAGTTAGAATAAAGAGAACGTAATTGGAGAACCAATATTTAAGATGTTGTAATATTATGAGACACATAACAAAAATAGCAATGACTATGTACCTATCAAGAAAATGAACTACTGGGGTGCCTCACTGGCTCCATCCACGGAGCATGTGTCTCTTGATCTCCACTTGGTGAGTTCGAGCCCCACACTGGGCTTAGAGTTTACTTAAAATTTTAAAAAATGTTTAAAGAAAATTAACTATTTATAACCACAATGGAAAACATGGGTGAATCTCATAAAAATAGTGCGTGAGGGGCGCCTGGGTGGCGCAGTCGGCTAAGCGTCCGACTTCAGCCAGGTCACGATCTCGCGGTCCGGGAGTTCGAGCCCCGCGTCAGGCTCCGGGCTGATGGCTCAGAGCCTGGAGCCTGTTTCCGATTCTGTGTCTCCCTCTCTCTCTGCCCCTCCCCCGTTCATGCTCTGTCTCTCTCTGTCCCCAAAAAATAAATAAACGTTGAAAAAAAAAATAAATAAATGGAGATTAGCCTTTAAAAAAAAAAATAGTACGTGAAAGAAACCAGACACAAGGGTATACAATTTCAAAAAGTAAGCGACACTGGCAGGTCTGGGTGGCTCAGTCAGTTAATTCACTGGATTTCTACTCAGGTCGTGAGTTCTAATTCCTCATCGGGGCTCTGCACTGAGGGGGCGAGCCTGGTTGGGATTCTCTATCTCAAAAATAATTTTTTTTTTTTAATAAGCAAAACTAAAATACAGGAATGCACCCCCAGGAATAGAACAAAAAGCAAAGCAAGTAAACAATGACCATAAATACCAGGCTAGTAGTTACCTCCCGGTAGAAAGGAGATTCTTGTGAAGGGGGAAGGGTTCGGGAATATGGGGAGTCAATTTCCAGTGGTGGTTACATGGCTGTTCACTTTCTGATAAACCATTCCGCTGTATACTTTTGTATACTTTTCTGCATATAGGTTATGTCACACAAATAAGATTTAGAAGAACATAACCGTCCAAGAGTAGCTAAAGAAGTTTTAAAGATAACAAGGGGGATATTATTATAAAGCTTTAATTGTTAAGAGGATTGTTATGGGGGGGGGGGCACCTGGGTGGCTCAGTCCTTTAAGTCTCCGACTTCACAGTTCCTGGGCCCCATGTCCGGCTCTGTGCTGACAGCTCAGAGCCTGGAGCCTGCTTGGGATTTTGTGTCTCCCTGTCTCTCTGCCCCTCCCCCACTCGTATGCGCGCGCTCTCTCTCCTTCAAAAATAAACATTAAAAATGTAAAAAAAAAAAGAGGGAGGATTGCTATGGGGAAGATAGGCAAATGAATAAATGGAAAATAATAAAGAACATCCTCCCCACCCACCCACCCACCCCCAAAACAAACAAAAAACCAAGAATCTAGGGTATCTTGGTGTATAATACAGGCAGCGTTTCTGTTTTTCATTGCAAAAAGCTTTATTGTTTCCATTGGGTCGACAGTTTGGGAGAGGGCTCCGTCGTGGTTAAAAAGCTGCTCAGACAAGCCCAGGCAGAAGCCCTGGCACTAAGGGGATGCCAGAGGGGCCCCTCCAAGGTTGCTGGGCTCCAGAGGCTGCTAGTCGAGCTTGAAGGTGAGCCTTTCGAAGAGATACTCGCCCAGCGCGGCCTGAGGGCCGGCCAGCCTGCGGAGGTTAGTCAGGTGACTGCCCATCTGCTTGATGAGTTTCACCTCCTCGCCCAGGAAGTGGTTCTCCAGGAAGTCACAGAGATAAGCGTCGGCACGAGCAGAACCCAGGGCATGCAGATCCAAAATTGCCTCGTTCAGGTTCTTCTCCAGGACCAGAGCCGTTTCCATGGCGTCCAGGGCTTTACCCCACTCGTCGTGCGACGGCTTCTGCACGTCCTGGAAGAGCGCGCTGCCGCTCCGCTGGTTTTGCAACTTCAAGAGCCGCTGGGCGCCCTCGCGCTTCTTCAGGGCTAACTCGCGGAAGAAGTGGCCCAAGCCCTGCAGAGCCACATCGCTGCTGTCGAAATAGAAGCCCAGAGAGAGGTAGGTGTTGGAGGCCCGCAGATGCATGTTGACCAGGCAGTTGACGGAGGCCTCCACCTCGGGGGAATAATTCTGACGACCCTGAGAGCTCATGATTGGCCGGCAACAAGGCGCTAAGCTCAAAAAACGGTGTTGGTTGGCCCCAGAGGCAGAGGGTGGCTGAGAAGGTGGTTCCGGGGGTTGAGACTGTAAAGGCGGCTGGAGGGTGGTCTGAGGCTGGAGTAAGGGGTGTCCCTGGGTCTGGTCAGTCCAAGCTCTGTTGAAGCACGAGGCAGATCCAGCGGACCGCCGGGCGCACTGCAGATGTGGCATTATAATCACCGGAGAACAAGAAGCGTAGAGAGGAGCATGTTGGGTGGAACCTGGGGAAAGCCAATAAGAAGCAACCTTGTAAGACTCTCCTGGGGTAAACGTTAAACTGACTCAAACGGAAAATAGGGACGCGCCCCTCGACGTGCCGTTGCCAGCTCGGGGCCGTTTCGGCTGTGATGACGCTTCTGGCCGCAAGGTGGCGCCTGGCGGGGCACGGGCGCCGGGAATGACGCGTGCGCAGCGCTCCTAGGTGTATCCGTAGGATAAACGCACGCGCCGCGTTCACCGGTGCGCACAGCGCTCGCGCACACGCACTTACGCGCCCGCCCGTAGTCGCGACGTCCCGTTTTTCCAATTTTTCTGGGAGCGGCCGAGCTGACCCCGGGGTCCGAGATGTCCGAGCTGCCCCCCGACAGCGGTGTCCGGCAGACGGACGCGGCGAATGGCCACCGCGACGCCCCGCGGGCGGAGGTAGGCGGCGGGAGGCGGGAGCCGGCCCCGGCGGGGCCTGCGGAGCCCGGGGAAGGTCCGGTGGCGGCGCCCGGGGAGGCCCGCGACGCACAGGTAGCCCGAGTGTTGGCGGAGCCAGCGGAGGAAGAGGGTGCGCAGGCCAGACCCCGATCCCGGCCCGGGAACGGCCCGGGGCTGGCTGCGTTGCCGTACCTCCGCCTCCGTCACCCACTTAGCGTTTTAGGAATCAATTACCAGCAGTTCCTGCGCCACTACCTGGAACACTACCCGATCGCTCCGGGCAGAATTCAGGAGCTGGGAGAACGCCGCAGGAGGTTTGTGGAGGCCTGCAGAGCCCGGGAAGCAGCGTTTGATGCCGAGTACCAGCGGAATCCCCAGAGGATGGATTTTGACATTTTGACATTTACGGTAGCCCTCACTGCGTCCGAGGTCATCAATCCTCTGATAGAGGAACTTGGTTGTGATAAGTACATAAGTAGAGAATAGTCTGGTGGCGAAACCACTGCAGAGGGGAGCCTCTGTTTTCAAGTCTCACGCCAGTCCTGTCCCTCGATTTTAGAAGGTCAAAGTGTATGAGATAAGGCGAGGCATAGTTGCGGGGGGAAGGGCGTTTATCGCGACAAAGCCTCAGAAAAGAAATTCAAAGCCTTGTGACTCCTGTAACTGTTGAGTTTGGGGTTGATACAGAGCCTTCTCCCTGTGTTGTGGAAATGACTTTCAAAATTGCTTCACTGAAAAGTGAAGGATAGTTTTCAGGACATTGAGACCCGATGAAGAACTGTGGCCAGTATCGGGGCCCGTGATGACGAAAGAAACTCTCAAATCGTGATGGGGAGGAAGAAGGAGCCACGGCGGAGTTATCCCGTGGAGAGACTGGAAGCCTATGGCGAGAACTTGACATTGCCCGAATATGTGCTCTGTTCACGTCAGGTTCAACAGAAGGTTTTAGCACAAGATCGACTTTGTGTTCTGTGAAGCATTTCAAACGGCAAGGAGTGTAACTTGTTGTCTATATTACCTGATAAACCTTGTATTCGAGAATATCTGAAGATTCTGGAATTTTTTTTCTTTCATTTTTAATGTGTTTAAGCTTTTTTTTTTTTTTTTTTTTTTTT